CCTGCTGCTATTGATTCTCCTCCATTCCATCTCTACACTTCTGCTTATGTGGTACGTCTACACTCAGCCTCCTAAAAAGGCTCTGGACTATGTTCAAGATCATTCTTCTGGTGTTTCCAATGAGGTAAAAACAAATTATTCTCTCTTTTTCAGAGTTCTCCCTTGGGGGATGTTACTGGGATTCTGGGCATCCATGTTTTACAATTCACTGCCAAATCTAAGCTATTTTTGAAAACCTATTTTTGCATCATGGTGTTGTGTCCAATATCACTCCCCGGACTTTACCTCCACCAAAGTGGTTGGCTGTTTTTGAGCTCTAGGGTGGATAATCAGCCCAACAATAATTTTCAGTTAGGCCATTCAGTACAGTCATGATGTTTAGCAGAGTGAAAATCAAACATTAAAAATACTAATCTTGGGACAAGCAGTTTGCGTAATGGCTATGTCACTAGACTCCCACATAGTCGACCGCGGTTTGAGTCCCGGACTCGGTGGCTTAAACTCACGCCAGGCGCGTGTGCGTGCTTGTCCAAGATCCCGAGAGGAGAATGGAGGAGAAGGGATTGCGGCGTGGCCATCCCCCTTGGGGGGTGATTTCTCGCTTTCTGTCTCTCTGTCTCTCTCTGTCTGGTGAGCGCACGCACCCTATAGCAAAAAAACACCTCTCCAAAAAAAAAAAAAAGAAGAAAAGAAAAGAAAATATTAGTCTTGGGACCAGCAGTTAGCATAATGGCTATTTCGTTGGACTCCCATGCAGTTGACTGCAGTTCGAGTCCCGGACCCGGTGGCTTAAACTCACACCGGACATGTGTGTGTGCGTGCCCAAGATCCTGTCTCTCTGTCTCTCTCTGTCTTTCTGGCAAGCACACACACCCTATAGCAAAAACCTCTCCAAATATATATACATTAGTCTTAGTGCATATATTAACCACTCTCTTATAGTGAGTGAAATAGTATGACAAGGCTTCTCGGAGACATTTCAACATCATGCTTAGAGGTGTGGATTAAAAGTATCGAGGCTTAAATAATCAGATGCCTATGTCTCATGCATGAAGGGATTTCAAAAAGTTGTATAAAATATCATTAAAATATGAGTTTATTAGTCTCCAAAAATCTTGAAACCCTTGAATAATCTTTTATAATACATAGCTCCATAAACTTTTTAAGAAATTTCTTTATTTCTTCATAAACATATATTAAATTTGTATAGATGTTAAGTATATATAAATACTTATTAAATATAATAGCTATTTCTACAGAACCCCCACGATTCACCCTAGTCCCAGTAGTCATACATGTGTACACAAGCGTGCTCGAGACTGGTCCTAGGGCAGGAACCCAGGATCTTTCCCATGTGAGTCCAGTTGAGTTATCACTGTACCATTGCTTGGTCCCTCATGAACTTTCTGAAGACTCTTCATATTTTTTTAAATTTTCTTGTATTCCTTCATCTTCCTAAATACTTAGAAATTACGAATTTTTTTCATCACTCAGGAGGAGGGCTGACATAGCTACAGCGGTGTGCACTGCTGTGACACTGTGCTCCACAGGCTGAGACTACATGGAAACCTGGATTCAGTTCCTGGTCCCACCTAAAGGCCACCTGCAGTGGTGTGTGCCTGCAATCCCAGCTATTTGGGGAGGACAAAGCAAAAGGATCATGAGCTTAAGGCTGGCCTGGGCCAAATAGCAAGACCCTATTAAGAGAAGAATGGGGCATGTGGATGTGTAGTCCCACATGGGGATGTGGGGAGGAGCAAGACATGGGGAGGCCCTATCTTAAAAAAAAAAAAGAGTAGGCTGAGTCTGAGAAATACCTAGCAGGTGTGTCACAACTTCCTGGTTATACCTTTGATAGACATTATAATCCTTTTCAGCACTATAATCCAGGAAACCACTCTTACGGATCATCACTGACTGTGATAAAATGCACTTGAAACCTCTATTTAAGAATGCTTATGATAGCCAGCTGATAAAAACTTTGTGCCAGGCAACTTGAATTTTTATATGAATTAAGCAAAGAGCATATGACAAAAGCAGAAATAATACAGAATCAAAAGCTTTTTACTCTGTTCTCTGCAAAGAAAAACAAAAAATTATCTCATAACACAGATAGATGACACAAGCAAAAAATGACCTAGTTTTGCTAACCATCAGCCAAATAAAAACCTCCTTGAGGCAACTCTTAGAAGCAGTGAGGCAGGGAACAAAGTGAATAAATTGGTTTTCACATTGGTTGCTCTGTGGCCTTAAGTAAACAAAATAACAAATTTTTTTCTGAAAAATCTTACTTTGAGTAAATATGTGAACCTAGAAAGCAAAATCAATAGAACACTTTGCTGTAGAAGGTATTACTGACACCTGGTGGTAACCACTGGAATTGCAGGCATAAAATCTGCAGAAAATACTCAAGTTTCTAGAGCTTCATTTTGCAATTTCAAATTATTTCCTCTGGGGAAAGCATCAGAGTGCATGCTAAAACAGGGAAGTGATCAAAATACTTATACATTAAGTAAAAAGAAAATAGAGTAATCAAGAACATTCTGGGTTGTTGAACTCAGACATTTCCATAGGTTTATGTTCTGTAGCCAGGCAAATATCAAATAAAACAACCTATTCTATCTGCGTGTTATGTTACCTTGACATCTGAAGAAAGGGTATCATTCCAATATATGAACAACCCAAGAATTTATTGTGAAATTCAATTTATTGTGACAATTCTGGGATGTTTTTAAGGTAATTGGCTCACTGAAAACTGAAATGGATTTCAGAGAGCACCATTTTCACCTAGCCCATTTTTCAGTTAAGAAAAGTAGAGTGAAGCAATTTTAAAAAGTAGGTCCAAATCATATGGGAAGATGATGGCAAATAAGTAAATAAATAAAAGATCTCTTAATGTTCACTTTATTCCCTTTATACCATACTTTTTAGTATTTCCAGGCATGTATTTAGAGCATAGATGTTTTTCAAGCATTATTTACTTCATACTATTCCTTGTTAAGTATTGAGTTTCTGGGAAATAAGTTTAAATAATTAAAGTTAACAGTAATTCTTGGACACAAAAATAATAGACAGAGAGAGACAGAGAGACAGAAAGCGAGAAATCACCCCCCAGGGGGGATGGTCACGCCGCAATCCCTTCTCCATTCTCCTCTCGGGATCTTGGGCACGCACGCACACGTGCCCGGCGTGAGTTTTAAGCCACCGGGTCCGGGATGCGAACCGCGGTGGACTATGTGGGAGTCCAGCGATATAGCCATTACGCTAACTGCTTGTTCCCAATTCTTAGAATGTTTTTAAGGTGCCAGGTCTGGGACTCGAACCTCATTTGGCCATGTGGTAGTCCAACACCTTAACCACTATGTCACCTGCTGGCCCTTGGCTGATGTTTTCAAACTTTCACCTAGATAAACATTCTCAAACTGGAATTTGAGAACATTCTTAGAATGTGCTTTTCCTGTTTAAGGGGTGGAGACTATCCTTGCACAGAAAGAGGTTTTTGTTTGTTTCTGGCAAGATTCTATTCTTACTCAGTAAGATAAAATTAAGTGAAGATTCTAGTTAGTAGAAGCAATTTTTAGAGTTACGTGTGAGGGGGGGCTAATCTACAAAAAGACTTGCAAAATTATATACTAATGTTTTAACTGATTAATTGGTGCTGTTTTGCCAATGCATAGAAATTAGAGTTACAGAAATGGTGAATAAAGTGAGATCTAATTTCCACTAAGTAGATTTTTGTGGGTTTTTTGTTTGTTTGTTTGTTTTAGTTGTCAGTGGGAGCGTGCACTCTACAGAGAGAGAGAAAAATCACATTCTAATGGGGCATGGTCATGCTGCAATCCTTTATCTTTCACTCTATCAGGATTTTGAGCAAGCTGCGAGGGCTGGGATTTGAACACCACAGTCATCCTTGTGAGATCTGACTTTCTATACACAGCACTTAATCACTGTGCTATGGGGCCAGCCCACTAAGTTTTAATATTTTGGTAAAATGTTACTGTGTGATATAAACTTAAGATACAACGTGGCAAATCTTGACTTTGTGGCTAGCTGAAATTTTTTTTTTAGTTTTCTTTTTTTTTTTTTATTTGATTGGTTTTCGTTTTTGGGGTTGTTTTGTTTTGCTTTGTCATAGGGTGCTTGCTCTCACCAAAGAGAGACAGTGAGGGGAAAGTGAAAAATCCTCTCCCAGAGCGATGGCCACACCACAATCCCTTCTCCTCCATTTTCCTCTCTCTTCCTGGGATTTTGGGCACACTTTCACACACCCCGGCATGATTTTTAAAGTGCCAAATCTGGGACTCGAACTTCATTTGGCCATGTGGTAGTCCCACACCTTAACCACTATGTCACCTGCTGGCCCTTGCCTGATGTTTTCAAACTTTCTTGTAGATGAACATTCTCAAACTGGAATTTGAATTTCAGTTCTTCATCAAACCAAAGCATATATATATAGTTTTGGCTTTGCATAGGGAAATGTACACATATATATTTGTACACATTGTAGACATTATACAACAACCATTTTTATATCACAGTGTCACCTCAAATATCTATTACTTGGGGGCTTAATACTGATCTACTCCTGTTTTTCAGATATTTCAGTAACTATCTCAGTAGGTGGTTTAGAAAATGAAAAATTTGTTATCTATTATTTTAGCTTAATGTCTTTTTCAATGTATTGTTTAGAATGAAGGAAAATGTCTAAGTTCACTTTTTAAAAAAATGATAATATTTTGGTTCACTAGGCCATTTATTTTAAGCTAAATCCAAGTTTACCTAATTTGGAAGATAAAACTCTGTACTTGATTGAAGTACCAGGTGGTTTAATTTGAAATCAAACTCAGTAAGTTTTGTTAAAATGTCATGTTTATGTTGACAAATGAAAAAGATCTCAACTTCTACTTATATTTTGTATATTAAAAATAATGTCTGACAGCAGCAACAACAAAGTTACCAAGGTTTATGGTTTATAAGGATTGAAGAATGGCTTCAAATATTTTTTAAACATCCAACTTTTCTTTTTATGTAGAAAATATTCACAATTAATGGGCAAAATGCTGTTCATGCTAATGGTATAGAATAATTTTAGCTTTGTATTAAGTCTTCCTGAGGAAATGGCATTGATTCTCCCCACCACATCCCTGCACTGATGAAATACTTGCGAATAATTTGAGTTGCACAGAAAAATGGAAAACAGTATATCAGAAGAGAAGGTAGATAAGAAAAAGTAGAAATGAGGTTACATAATTTCTATTTGAGAAAAGACATTTTTGTAATCATCATAAGTGGTACTTTCGATCTCTATTTCTAGAATGTTCTTTTTAGGGTACTGAACTCGGTGATGTCTGACAAATGACATTTTGCCATAGTAAAAATATTTATGGAACTCTTACTCTACTTTCACAGGCCTCTGTGTATCAGTCCTCTATAGACAGAAGCCTGGAAAGACCCACAAGGTAAGCAGCTCATTACATCATCCAGCCTGAATATTCTATTCCAGTGCTTTCCTTTTAGTAATCTTATCAATAAAATGTTCATGAGGATTGGGACCAGCAGTTAGCATAATGGCTATGTCACTGGATTCCCAGTAGTCGAACGCAATTCGCGTCCCGGACCTGGCGGCTTAAACTCACGCCGGCCGTGTGTGTGTGCATGCCCAAGATCCCAAAAGGAAAATGGAGGAGAGGGGATTGCAGCGTGGTCATCCCCCCTGGGGGGTGATTTCTCACTTTCTGTTTCTCTGTCTCTCTCTGTCTGTCTGGCGAGCACATGTGCCCTATAGCAAAAACCTCTTCAAAAAAAAAAAAAAGTTCATGAGGATTAAGTGTCCTTCATTTCAGTGCCATGCCTCATGATGTTGTTTTGTTTCTGCATTTTATGATTATATTCATACATTTATAAAAATTAAGTGGAATAATTCTGGATTCCTTTACAGCCTGAGAAATCCTTATCTCCACTTTATCTAGTTTGCTTTCTTTAAGATGGGGATTATAAAGAACTAATTCAATGTCATTAGATGATACTTAATGATAACGTATTTTAAATTTTGTAAATTAAAGTGTTATGTGCTTCAGTGTTTTTAAGTATACTCTGACCATACAAACCAGAAATGCTTTTCCTACCAGTAAGTGAGGGCTTATGGTACAGCAGACATTCTAAGTACATAAACGTAGTCAAACTTAAGCCCACTCTGTGAGCTAAATACTTTCCTTTGTACTTTATCAGTTTGGGAATTTGCAATTCCAAATTGCTTCCTCTGTGGTAAGCATCCGTGTGTGTGTGTGTGTGTGTGTGTGTGTGTGTGTGTGTGTGTTAAAACAGGGGAGTGATCAAATTACTTATATATCAAAGTTAAAAGAAAATAGAGTAATCAGGGACATTCTGGATTATTGGCTTCAGTCATTTCTAGAAGCTCGTGTTCAGTAGCCAGGCATGTAATCTGAAGACTATCGAATAAAACAAGCAATTTCTCCTGCTGCCGATTCCATCTCGCAGTTCCGCCAGCATGTCCAGTGACTTTAGGAAACGGAGGAAGAGCGAGCCTGCAGTGGGTCCACCCAGGGGCTTGGGGGATCAAAGTGCAAGCAGGACCAGCCCAGGGCGGGCGGACCTCCCAGGATCAAGCACCACCCTTACGAAGTCTTTCATTAGTTCTTCTCCTTCATCCCCATCAAGAGCGAAAGGTAAGCCATAGTGAACCGACACGTCATTTACCGGTAGAGGGGTTAGCCTAGAGTGTCATGCCAGAACTAGCCGGTGTCGGCCATATGCGTTACTTTTACCTACAGTGTCTTGAACAAATTACAGTTTCCGAACAACAGCTTCCTTCCTACTCAGACTGACACAAACTGAAAGGACTCCGACTCTCATCCGTGCATGCTTTTTCCCCCGAATATATATATTTTAAACAAAACCAAAAAAATTAAATAATTTAATGTCAGGCTATTAGAAGATGACACAAACATTTACCTATAGTCAAGTTTCTATCATTACGACTAACAAATTAACCGAATTTATAGAATAGTCATTACACGCAGTGACAGAGGAAATGACTGCCTAAAACATATATTGGTTTTTGGTTTTTAATTATTCAGTTCTAGCTTTTAAAACATGTCCAACCTAATAACGTTATTTCTTTGATCGTTGGCTCTGAGTTTTCATCAGCCTTCTTGTACACAATAGAATACCCAAAGTCTGCCGTGTCACACAGTGGTCAATTCACAACAGTCCATAGTAAGCACGAACTGGCTTCAGGCCATAATTATAAAATTTAGAAATCACCAAGTCATTTATCCAGGTGGCCCATCTCCTATTGGTAAATATAGTGAGTGAAGTGTTGAAAGGAAGCAAGTCACTCTTCGAGGTCTCTGGAAGGCACTTAGTCTTGAGGACATTACTGTCTTGAGGACAGGAATATTTCTGGGAGAGAGAATGAGGGCTGAACTGGCACCCATGGGATCAAGGGCTAGGCCAAATTTGCATCCCCACCATCTCCTCCATCCTGTTGGTTGAAACAGAAGAGAAAGGTATTTTGAAATATGTTAAGAAGATAAGCTCTAACAGAATTTTCCATAAAATAGGGCAGATTCAGCTACATGCATCAAATTAGGAACCAAAAGAATGTCCACAGGGAAAGTGGTAGCTGAGTCATGTGAAAAAGAGAGACTAGTCTTGATGATTGAACCCTGGGTGACTGAGAGGCCTACCCCTTCTAAGGCCTACTAAATTTGTGAGTAGTAACTGGATGGTTTAGAGCGAGTGAGCCCCATGCATTATACCTAGCCTTTGATTGACAGAGGTTCCTTTATCAGACTCTACTCATTTATGCAAATATCTTAAGGAAATAAGCAGGTTATAAAATGCCATTGACTTCTTATGCTTGGATACTACACACATATCAAAAGGAGTCTGATGCATTTAGAGATTTGTTTTATCACAGGAAGTATTGAATCAATTTCCTTTCCCAAACATTTTAAATATACTTAATGAATTTATCCACTTGCGAAGATTTGGGCAAAATTGTAAGATGTGAGTTGTAAACAGAGATATTTCCCCCAGTAGTTTTTATTTCCAAAGAAAATGTCCCATTAGATCTAATTTGTTCTCTTGTTTTCTAGTTAACTCAGCAAAGCAAAAGAAATATTTTCAGAGCTACTCCAAATTCAGGTCAAGTTTAGTTCTTAGCACATAATGCATTTGCTCCTACTGAAAGTTTTACATTATATCCAGTTGTCCTTATGTAAACAAGATCCTTATGAGGTTGAAGATAGGACAATTAAAGAGATAAATTGGTTTGAAGAGGCCCTCATTTTTTTTCTTAAAATATTAGCAACAATCGTTCACAGCATTTTAATTTTGTAACTTGAGAAAATACTTTGGCTTATATCTTTTTCTATCCAATGTCCATGAAAACTTATTTGATACAGTTGTAGGGATATCGTTATAAATTCCTCTTTACCTACTTAGTGTTCTAAGTCAAATTCTGACCCTATTATGTTGGTTAAATCTGTAACTCTTTTAGCAATAACTGTTAAACCTTTGAATTACTACCATATCGTGCTGCTAGCTTATGAGGTATTATTGTGTTTTGGCAGAAGGGTGTCCAAGCTATCTAACAGAAATGCCACATTAGCTGCACCTGTGACTCGCTACCCATGGTCTGATTAACTCTAATGTCTACAAAGCAACAGTTATTGAAAAAGTATTATTCTGCTTTGTGACTTTTTCTCTAAAGTTGAAGCTACATGTGTTAACCGTCAGTATTTAGATGAAACCACACTAACAACTTTTCCTTTGCTGTGCTATCTAATGCTTACTGACCTGTTCTCCTTTCTTTGTGAACGTTTTAACTTCTCCAAATGTCTCTCTTCTGCCACGCTGCTCTGGATTAAAAGGTGGGGATGATAGCAAAGTGTGCCCATCCCTTTGCAGTTACTCAGGGCTCAACGGCAACCCCTCCCATGAGTTAGATTACTGTAGCCCTTATAGACAACACTTGGACGTCCCACGGGACTCACAGAGAGCCATTACTTTCAAAAATGGCTGGCAAATGGCCCGGCAAAATGCAGAGATCTGGAGCAGTACTGAAGAAACAGTCTCCCCCAAAATCAAATCCCGTAGCTGTGATGATCTGCTCAATGATGACTGTGATAGCCTCCCTGACCAGAAAACCAAGTCAGAAAGCATGGGCTCTCTGTTGTGTGAAGAGGATGCGAAAGAGAGCTGCCCCATCGGGTGGGCTTCCCCCTACATCCAGGAAGTTCGTGGCAATGGCAGATCCAGACTCAGACACAGGTCAGCCCACAATGCCCCTGGCTTCCTAAAAATGTACAAGAAAATGCACCGCATTAACCGCAAGGATTTGATGAATTCAGAAGTGATTTGCTCCGTGAAGTCAAGAATTCTGCAATACGAAAAGGAGCAACAACACAAGGGCCTATTCCAGGGATGGAGCCAGTCCTCCACAGAGGAGGTGCCCAGGGACATGGTCCCCACCCGCATTTCTGAGTTTGAAAAGTTGATCCAGAAGTCAAAATCCATGCCCAATTTAGGGGATGAAATGTTATCTCCTATGACCCTGGAACCGCAACAAAATGGCTTATGTCCCAAGAGGCGATTTTCCATCGAGTCTTTGTTGGAGGAAGAAAATCAAAGTAGACACCCGTCTCAGGTACAACGAAGCTACCAATCTAAGGCCCTGGTGCCAATTCACATCGAAGTCACCAGTGAGGAGCACCCGAGAACTCACGTGGAATTTTCTGATAGTGACCAAGACGGAGTCGTGTCTGACCACAGTGACTACATTCACGTAGAGGGGTCGTCCTTCTGCAGCGAAAGTGATTTCGATCACTTTTCCTTCACATCTTCCGAAAGTTTTTATGGATCCAGCCACCACCACCATCATCATCACCACCACCACCACCGGCACCTCATCAGTTCCTGCAAAGGCAGATGCCCGGCCTCTTATACTCGATTTACCACAATGTTAAAACATGAGAGAGCTAGGCATGAAAATACAGAAGAGCCTCGGAGACAAGAATTGGACCCTGGCCTTTCTAAACTTGCATTTCTAGTCAGTCCTGTGCCTTTCCGGAGGAAAAAAAATTCAACTCCCAAAAAACACACTGAAAAGGCAAAATGTAAGACATCTGTATTTGAGGCTCTGGATTCTGCCCTTAAAGACATCTGTGATCAAATTAAAGCTGAAAAGAGAAGGGGAAGTTTGCCAGACAACAGTATCTTGCACCGTCTTATCAGTGAGCTGCTGCCAGATATTCCTGAAAGGAATTCATCACTCAAAGCTCTAAAAAGGAGTCCCATGCACCAGCCTTTCCACCCACTGCCTCAAGATGGTGCTATTCATTGTCCCTTGTACCAGAATGATTGTGGGAGAATGCCTCACAGTGCCTCGTTCCAAGATATGGACACGACCAACAACAACTACCACCAAGACCATGACAGTGCTCTGGGGCCCCAAGGTGGACAAACTTTTCTTTCTTTTTCTTTGTGGTTCATATACTCACCCTCCAGCTCTTTCATTTTCCATACACCCATCTCATAATTCCTGAGCTGTGAGACCACCTGGCATCATTACGTGTTGAGAAGCAAGTACTTGTTGTGTAAACGTGAATATTTTTCATTTGCCCATTTGATATTTGGACTTGATGTATGGCTTAAAGTGATCATCAATTCACAAAAATTAACTCGTTCAAAAGCAAAAGGGAAAAACACTTGGAGCCTAATGTTAGAGTTGAAACAACTGTTATGTGGAGACAACAAATTAAACAATTTTCCAAATTAAAAAGAATATTGCAAAACAGAAACTGCTATTGAATAGTATCCTTGAGAACTTTTCATTGTAAAATGAATCAAAATCAATAGTTTTAATAATTAGCCTTTTATTATTAAAAACTTTATAGTCTTTCACTCAACAAATAATTTGCTCACATTCTATATAGAAAATACTAGACCAAAACACTCAGGAAGCAAAATGAAAATATGTGATTAGAAATTGATGGATATTTGAAGAAATTAGAATTTGTTTAATAACTTTCTCCACTGAAAGGACAAAATGGGGATGAAATTTTTGTGAAATGTGCCTTTAAGCTGTATATATGAAAGTCTCATTTCTATCACTCAGTGTGCTCATTTTCTTTTAGTTCCATTACTTAATTTGCTTATTTTCTGTTTCTGCTAAAACAATCTTATACTGAAATTTAAATTAGACTACTCAACTTAAATTACACTCCACTCCTTTTCATAGATAACTTCAAAGTGGCAATACGAGGAGAAATAGCAACACATAAATACAGGGTCATTATTTTGAGGTTCCTATACCTTAAAAGCACATGCTGTTTTAATATTTGTATCACATTCATTTCATTAATCCTTAAAGTGCACCTGTTTACTATATAAATTTTAAGAAGCTGAAGTGAACGTTCCAGGCTAAAACATGGATCATCAACAGAGAATCTTCTACCCACCATACACTTTACATGTGTTATCTAGTTAAACTAACATAAACCTATGGAATGGGCATTATTGTCAGCAATGTTTTACAACTGAAGAAACTGAAGCCCAGAGAGGGCAAGAAATTTGCCCAAGGCCACGCAGATAGTAGGTATCAGAAAGGTGTTTCAAGCCCCTAATAATTCACAATTTGTAGTATAAAATATAATCTCTATAGACGAAAAAAAGACATAATTCAAATTTCATGTTAGTGTGATTTATATGATTCAAGTGTTCGTTATAATTGCACAAATTTTCTTATTTTATTAGCATTGATTTTTATATCATTATACTGTACAACATGCTTTAAAACCAACAAATTTGAATTTTTAAATTAACTACTACCACTGGAAATTTTTACTGATTGAGACAGGTCAGAATCTGATTTTTTTAATAAATTAGTTACCATTTCTAATCTGTCAATATTTCAATATAATCATCTCCCAATTTTATGTGTAGAGTACATTATTGAACATGATTTAAGAGGATTTAGAAATGTATTTAAAGGATATTTTGTTCTTAATAAGATATTTATTTTCTAATCATGTTTAGCCCAAGTGAAAAATAGTTTATATTCCATGGGTTAGTAAAAGTAACTTAAAATTATGATCATTTTGAGAACCCTGCAATCATAAAACTATATTAACTTAGAATTAAAGATAATTGCACATAATCCTCAAGCATGCATGAAAATAAATGATTAAGTTTTACCCAAAATGTTTGTTACCATGTTATCTTCTTCAACTTAAAGACTTTGGAATTCTTTAACACAGAGAGTGTTGGACTCACAGAGAGTCAGGTACTTATCCTTCTATGCCCTGAACTGATCCCCTTCCTGCTGTAGACAGGCTATCTTTCCTTACAGTCAAAGTAGTCAGAATCTTTAAGCAATCTTTTCTTTTAGTGTATCAGCAATTTAAATTCCTCCACAGACAGATAAACTAAGTTGTTTTTTTGTCGTTATTGTTGTTGTTGTTTTATGCTTCTTGTATTCCAAGATCACTACAATTCCTAAAGGGATAATATAATCAACAAATTTTGGCCAGGTTACACTAGTAAAATCGTGTAACAGAGACTACTAGGATACTTTTAACCTCTAGTTTTATCTCCACGTATAAGTCACATACCAGTAAGATAGAAGATACGATTGAGAAATACTTGCAATCATAATTTTGTAATGTAATTATTCATACTTTGCTTCAGGGTAAACAAAAACAATAACATTCCATAAGTAATTTGGCAACCAGTTTGATGTTTTCTAGTTTCTTAGAATAAATGTTTTCTGATAAGGTAGTTTATCAGCTGTGTAGAGGGAAGGCCAGAAATAAAGGGAATGTTGAGGGGAGAAACAGCTAGACAGACAGAGAGACAGAGGGAGAAAGAAGGGAGCAGACATGACATCGTCCTGCCTTCACCATACTGTCTTTGGTTTTATCTTTTTCTTTTTCATTACTACATTCTTCAATTGTTTCACAAAAATGTTTTTGTCTGTACCAATGATTGCTATTTTCAAATTCCCCATCCTTTATAGCTCTTATAATAGTAATTAAAAATTAGAGGCAAACAGAATAGAAATAGAATGTATTGAAACTTTGATATGAGAAATCCTTGTAACTATGAATTGTCTATACCTGGTACTGCAGTGTAAGTAATCAGCAAGGTAGCTATTACATTTAAATATATAATTATAATACTCCTGCAACCTTGGATATTTTTCCTATTTATGTGCTCTTATTTTTATGTTTTTTAGATCCCAATTTCATAATTACTGATGAGTTTCATTCCCATTTTTTCAATAATGATGTCTCTCCAAATTTGGGAGGGAGAAATGATTGCTACTAGGGAAAAGGCTGAGCAAATTTGCTTTTGAGTGGATACTTACCCTGACTGGCCCTCTCCTTTCCAATAGACCGGGACTCCCCTAGAAGTTACTCATCCACTTTGACTGACTTGGGGAGAAGTACGCCAAGGGAAAGAAGAGGAACTCCAGAAAAAGAGGTAGTGAGTGTATTGTCATGGTGGTCTTTTAAAGCAATATGTTTGACAAAGTACAAAATTGATTTCCAGAACTAATAAAGAACCCAGACTAAAACATGAGAAACTAGAATTCGTTTTCTCTGGAGCATGAGCATGGGACTTGAAGTGGGCAGCACTCTGACCCCAGCTCCAACTCTCCGCTAGTTGTGGTCCAGTAGGGCAAGGAGGTCTCTCCAGTCTTCCTAACCCCCGTGAATGTATCAAAAAGTCCTGAGTGGTGTCGCCTCGTGGAGGAAGGACGTTCCCCCTGAACAGTTTCCCCTGGTCTAGGAGAAAGTCTTCAGACAACCATGTTGCAAATTAATACAGATTCTACATAAACAACTTTTCCTGGCATACATTTTTTGGAGAAGATCCCTGAAAAAAAGCTTTTCCCAGCCCCATTCTGGGTGGCACTGCCCCTGGGAACTGCATACGCTTTGTCCATGGGCCTCAGCCTGAGCTGGCACTCTTGCTCAGTCTTAGAGCCATAAGGGTGTGATGGAAACTGAAAGCCGGTCTTGGACTGGCAGCCACTCCAGGTCAATCTTACAGGTGTCTGATGTACTCCAGTGCCCAAGAGTCCTGGTTTCCTGGTGTTTTCCAGCATCATAGGGACAGAGCAGAGGGTGAGAGGTGGATT